CAACCCTTTAGGGCAGAGTAGAACTGCCCCATAGGGTTTCCAAAGACATACATCTTTACCAAAGCAGACTGTCTGTCTAGGTTCATACCCAAGAGGGCAAATGCCTCACAATAATTTGCACAGAGAGACCGAAAACCCACCCGGAGTCACTCTAAAAGGCATCGAATTTATTAGGAGGTCTCACAGGACAGCAGTGCTGCATTCAGGAAAGGCAGGCTGGGCCAGTCTCTTGAGGTCAGTGCCACCCCTCCCACCCTGCTAATATTTATACTAAATAAAACCAAACTCACTGCCACTGAGTGGATTCCGAGTCACAGTGACCCTCCTTGGGTTTCCAAGACTGTGAATCTTTATGGAAGTAAATCGCCACATCTTCCTCCGGCAGAGCAGCTGGTGGGTTTGAACAGCTGACTTTCTGGTTAGCAGCCAAATGCCTTTACCCATTATGCCACCAGGGCTCCTTTAATATTTATACTAGTATGGCACAATGTTAGGGGGCTCGCATGACTGGCCAGACTAGTCTGGGTGGTGGTCAATGCAGGGGGCCCGCTCCCCTCCAGAGGTATTGCAAGGTGTTCCTACCAGGGCAGTAAGTTTCTTTATGCTGGTGGTCTCAAGTATGCTTCTTTCTGATGAGCCGCTGGGGTCAGCGGCAGTAAGCTCAGCTGCCTCAGGAATGTATAGGGAGGGGAAGCCAGAGAAAGGGAACACAAAATTTAAGATGATGGAGCGGGAGCCATTTTGGGATGTTTGAAGGCCTGTATCATACACTGCCTCATCTTTCTCCTGTGGAGTATCTGGTAGGTTTGAACTTCCAACCTTTTGGTTAGCAGCCAAAAGCTTTAACCACTACACCACCAGAGTTCTTTCCCATACACAAAAAAACCAAAACCAAATTCATTGCCATCGAGTCATTTCCAACTCATAGCGACCCCTCCTTGGGTTTCTGAGGCAGTATCTCTACGGAAGTAGATTGCCCAACCTTACTTCCGAGGAGTGGCTAATGGGTTTGAACTGCCAGCCTTCTGGTGAGCAGTCAAATGCGTTAGGCACTACACCACCAGAGCTCCCTATTCCACAAACAGGCAACCCCAAATACTGCTGGAATCCTGGGTTAGAGCCCTTGGGATTTTTTGCCCAGCTAAAATTTTGCCTCAGAGGACTACAGGGGAGAGGCTGTGTGGACAGGAATTCAGGAAACCTGTCCTTCTGATGCTTGTTCTGATGCTAATTAGCGACGGAACTCGGGGTAACATACTTCACTTCTCTGGGCCTCAGTTTTCTCCTCTATAAAATGAAGTACAGCATAGTCTGAAGAGATTTGGAAGAGGTTCCTGCTGACCTAGGGAAAAGAAAGCAAAGTCTCAGAAGGCCTCCAAAAAAGTTGGATGCTCTTTGCTTTGTGGAGAATGATGGGAAACACTGGGGGGAATTTTAGAATAAGCTACCCTCTGGTATCAAGTCGATTCTGACTCACAGCGACCCTACAGGACAGAGTAGAACTTCCCCATAGGGTTTCCAAGACCGTAATCTTTAAGGAAGCAGACTGCCACATCTTTCTCCTGCAGAGTAGCAGCTGAGCGCTTTAACCAATATGCCACTGAGTTTTTGCATTTTAGAATAGGGAATGACAAATGAGTGTAGATACTCTTAGATGAATATGAATTCCCTCTTCAAACATTCCATTTTAATCTAAAAACCAAAAAACCAAACCCACTACCATTGAGTCAATTCACACTCATAGCGACCCCTATTGGATTTCCAAGACTGTCAATATTCACAGAAGCGGACTGCCTCATCTTTCCTCTGCAGAGTGGCTGGTGGGTTCAAACCACTGACCTTCTGGGTAGTAGCTCAATGCCTCAACCACTATACCACCAGAGCTCTTCATTATAATCTAAAACCCCACAGTTTCTACCCAAAAGTGTGTGCCTCCAAGTAGTGATAGTTCAAATAGTTCTCTCTCCTGGAAACCAGTGGTAGTAACCACCCTGCAGTAGTGCACAAACTTGACTGTGCACTGGAAGCATTTAGGGAGCTTTAACCAGCGGATCCTGGAGTTCACCCTCAGAGATTGTGTTTGGGGTATGCACTGGGCATTGGGAATGTTAAGCGTTCCCCATGTGATTCTAATGTGCAGCCAAAGTTGAGAACCACTGCTCCAGAACTTTAGACTCTTCATGTTTGGCCTGAAGTTGAAAATAACAAGCCAGTAAGCAGTCGGTGTAGACCAGCGGTTCTCAAACTTCAATGTGCAAAGCCAGGATCTTGTTAAAATGCATCTTCTGGGCTGGGGCCTGAGCTTCCGCTTTTCTAACAAACTCCCAGGGGATGCCCACGGGCTGCTGGGCTGCAGACTGCACCGAATCAGCTAAGGCCATAGCTTCTAGGTGCACAGCAGGCAGATTTGAAGGAGAATTCTGGCTCTGTCAGAATTCAGCTGGGACCTGAAGAACTTACTTCACTGCGATGAACCTGAGTTTTCTCATCCATAAAACACATGAAGGAGCCCTGGTGGTCCAGTAGTAAGTTCTTGGCTGCTAGCTGAAAGGCTTGCTGTTTGGAACCCATTAACAGCTCTATGGGAGAAAGATGTGGCAGTCCGCTTTCTTAGAGTACAGCCTAGAAGGCCCACAGGGCACGTCTACTCTGTCCTAAAGCATTACTATGAGTCAGAATCAACTCAATGGACAAAGGATTTTGTTGTTGTTTGTTTAATGCAGGGAAAGAATCCTAACTATATCACAGAGCCCTTGCCAGGCTTAAATGAGGTAATGCATTAACTATGTTGAGCACAGTAAAATAAATATGAGCTATCTGTTACAATAGGAGCTCTGGTAGCACAGTGCCTAAGGCACTTGACTGCTAACCAGAAGCCTGGTGGTCCAAACCCACCAGCCACTCCTCGGAAGGAAGGTTGGGCAATCTACTTCCGCAGTGATACTGCCTCGGAAACCCAAGGACAGGTCGCTATGAGTCAGATCCAACTCGACAGCAGTGAGTTTGGTTTGGTTTGGTTTATCTGTTACAACAGCCACTCATAGAATGCTTACTATCAGCTAGGATTTTCCAAGTGCTTTCATAGAGCAACTCATACATGCCTCAAAACAACACTGTGAGGCTGTTGCTGTTGTTGTTAGGTGCTGTTGAGTCAGTTTTGAATTCACAGTGACCCCACGTACAACAGAGAGAGAAACATTGCCTGGTCCTGTGCCGTGTTTGAGCCCATTGTTGCAGCAACTGTGCCAATCCATCTCCTTGAGTGTCTTCCCCTTTCTGCTGACCCTCTACTCTGCCCACGATGGTCTCCTTCTTCAGGGACTGGTCCCTTCTGACAACATGACTGAAGTACTATAGACAAAGTCTGGCCATTCTTCTAAGGAGCATTTTGTCTGTACTTTTCACGATACATTCGATAATCTTTGCCAACATCACAATTCAAATGCACCATTTCTTCAGTCTTCTTTATTCTTTGTCCAGCTCTCACATGCATAGGAGGCTATTGAAAGTGCCATGGCTCGGGTCAGGTGCACCCTCTTCAAAGTGACATCTTTGCTCTTTAACACTTCAAAGAGGTCTTTATTTTTACTCACCTTGCTGTGAGGTCAGTACTATTATTTCATCATCCCCGTTTGACAGATGAAGAAACTAAACCCCAGAGAGGGTCAGCCTCTCTGGTACTCAATACCTCGATCAACGAAACACACCTAGGAGTGGCTAAGCGAAGGTTTGAACCCAGGGAGAATCTGGGCTCCTCACCACGATCATTTGCCACGGCTGCACTGGATTAAGTGTCAGAACGGCACGTCTGCCCTGCGGACTTGGCTTTCACGCGGCGACGAGTTCAGAGTTTACACGCTGGGATGGGCTGGGGCCGCCAGGTGGCAGTAGAGGACTCGGTGGACGCAGTGACCACTAACAAGGCCAAGCCCAGCCCGCGCGTGTGCTCGGCATTTCACTGCGCTCGCGACGCCAACTTCTTCAGCTTCACAGAGCTCCCATCGCTCCTCCACAGCAGGCCCTCGCGGCTGCCCGGGGGTCTGTCAGGAAAGAGCAGCCCTACCATGGGGTTCAAATCTGAGTTTCCCAAGGGAAGCCCACATCCGCAAGGAAAGGATTGAGCCAAGCCAGTTTCTGCAAAGTTCCTATGCCCCGGGAGCGCAGCCAGACCAGGGAATCTGGAACCAAAGTTCCGCAGAAAGTTGGGAGTCTAGCCAAGATAGAGAAAGCTGGGAATCCCTCTTGGGACTTGGGGACACTTTGCGGGGCGCCCGCCGTCAGGGCGCGCGGTCGGGGGATGAGGACTCGCGCCGAGGACACTCTTCTTGGGACCGGCTGCCCTCGGAAGGGCGGAGGAGACCTTCCTGCGGCGTCCCCTGGGAGAGGGGCAATGAGCTTGGGGGGCAGTGCAGGGGTCGGGGGTAACCGGGCGGTTTCCATGGTGCCCGGGACGTGGGGGAGGAATGCATCCCGCAGGCTATGGCGAAACAACTGCGCCGCCAGCCGCCCGGCTGGAGAAGGCGGGAGGGAGTCAGGGGCGGAGTAGGGGGTGGGGGGAGCCGGGCCGGGCGGGGCGGGGACGGGGCGGTCACGTGCGCCCCAGGGGGCGAGGCCCCAACCCGCCCGGGAGCGAACCGAGCCGGCCAAGTGGCTGCGCTAGGAGCGAACTGCTTCCAGGAGCGAACGTGGCCAGAACGCCTTGGAGGGGGACCCAAGGCAAAGGCAGCCGAGTCCGGGCTGAGGCGTCAGCGGCCGGCCTGGGGAACAGCGCCGCCGCGGGTCCGGGGAGGAAGTCCCAAGGGAAAGTGGCAGCAGGAGCTTGGGGGCAAGCGCAGGGACCTCGGCTCCCGGCTTTAGGTCTTCCTTTCTTTTGAGGCAGGCGGGAGCAAGTGCCCCGTGAGTTCTAGGGGACCAGCCGAGGCCACTGTCTCCTAACACTGCTGGAGCCCTCAGCACCTGTCCAGGGTTCCTGGGCCGAGGCTTCAGAGAAGGCTGTGGTCATGGTGAATGAAGAGCTCAAGCAGGAGGAGGGCTATGGCGCCCCAGCGCAAGAGTCTGCACCCCACGGAGACCCCGGCGACTCTGCCCACCCCGGCGTGTTGGCAGATCCTAGCACGTCTCTCCATCCCAGCGTCTCCATCCATCCCAGCGTCTCCATCCACCCTAGTGTCTCGGCCTACCCCAGTGCCTTGGCCCGCCCCAGTGGCTTGTCCCACCCCAGTGGCTCTGGCCCAGAAGACCTCAGTGTGATCAAGGTGAGCAAGCGCCGCTGGGCCGTGGTCCTGGTGTTCAGCTGCTATTCCATGTGTAACGCCTTCCAGTGGATCCAGTACGGTTCCATCAACAACATCTTCAAGAACTTCTACGGGGTCACTGCCTTTGCCATCGACTGGCTGTCCATGTGCTACATGGTGACCTACATCCCCCTGCTCCTGCCGGTGGCCTGGCTGCTGGAGAGATTCGGACTGCGCACCATCGCCCTCACCGGCTCGGCTCTCAACTGCCTGGGCGCCTGGGTGAAGTTGGGCAGCCTGCGGCCGCATCTCTTCCCAGTCACCCTGCTCGGTCAGATCATCTGCTCCGTGGCCCAGGTCTTCATCCTGGGCATGCCCTCCCGTATCGCTTCTGTCTGGTTCGGGGCTAATGAAGTTTCAACGGCCTGCTCAGTGGCTGTCTTTGGCAATCAGGTGGGTAGAGTTGCTTGTGGCTGCTTAGGGGTGTGGGCATCATTATCATTGTGTGACATAGGGTGGCTGTGTTAGAGGGCACCCATCTAACTGGTGAGTGGTGAATTTTCTGACTCTTCAGCCCTGTGACTCTGGTTGACTTTGTGACTGGGGTGACTGTGTGATTGGGTGATTGTGACCAGATATTTGTGTAAGAGAAGCGTGAGGAAACAAAAGGAAGGGAACTTTTCCCCACTTTTCTCTTCATCCAACTGAAAGTGGGTTTCTAGAACATGCCCTGCTTTGTTGGTCTGGTTCCTGAACCTGTGCCAGTTCACCAGCTTAGACCTGTGACTTTACTAAACTGATACTTTCTCAGGCAACAGTCCCTGGGCATCAGACATAGTAGACTATTCTGATCTTATCAACACTTAGCAGGTGTTTTGAGTGCTTCTGGCTTTCCTGGAGTGCTGTATCTCCTGTGCCAAGCAAACTGCAGACCTGTGTCCTGGTGGTCATGGTTTGACGCTGTTTGTACCATCTTTCACACACAGCTGAGGTCAGGACAGGGGGACAGTGCTTGGTGCTCAATTCCTTCTCAGGGGTTTAGAGCCAAGTCCAGCAGGTTGGAATAGAAAACTCACTCTGAATATCCCAGGACTAGAAAAGCATCTGGTTTTATCAGTTCATATCTTGAGCCCTTCTTGTTTCTCAAAGGAGAATTCCAAATTCTTTGCATCTCAGTATGGTTATGACCCAGCAAATTGGGCATGTCATGCGAATGAATGAAAATGAATTTGATCGCCTTTGCCAAATATTTGAAGCAACTATTTATGGGGTCCTTCTTCATCTGGACCACCACTGCCTTTGTGTCTTGCTTCTCCCCAAGTCCATGTCATCATGGCTACGTGTTTAACAAATTGTCAGTAACTTTTATTTGTTCTAGATCTGTTTTCTGTTACTTGTTAATTTCAGTTAGACATTTTAACCTTCCATTTAAATATGCCATTTGGGGAAAAAAAATTGCCATTTGGGACAAAAAACTTTCCAAAACTTCTCTCTAAAGGCAAATTTCCAATCTGTTTATCATTCACCACTAGGAAGATAACTTGAGCTAAATTTTCCTGGTCCTACTTTGAGTGCTACCCCTTGAGTAATAGTGTAAGCAACCAATGAAAGCAAATAGGCTACTTCTAGCACACAGACAAGCAACACAGAATCCTGTGCCCAGTTTTCACCTATTGATTTGAATGTTGCTAAAGACTGAATTAGGAGCTCTGGTAGCATAGTGCGTAAGGCATTTGACTGCTAACCAGAAGGCTGGCGGTCAAACCCACCAACTACTCCTCTGAAGGAAGATTGGGCAATCTACTTCTGTAGTGAAACAGCCTCAGAAACCCATGGAGGGGTCGCCATGAGTCAGGTCCGACTCATCGGCCCATAACAACAACAAAGACTGAATTGATGTGAAGCCTTGGTAGGAATAACTAGATGGATCTTTTGTTCATGGCAATTTAAAAATAGGTATTGACGGTGACATTTGTCAGCTCCACCATCCTCTTAGATGATGGGACTGAATTTTAACATCCTCATTGCAGTTTTATTATTATTATTATTATTGTTATTATTGGTTTATAGCAATCATGGTGGTGAGTTTCATATTATTGTATTGGATCTTTCTTTTATAGGAGGGTCAAACTGGGAGATGGGGGCATTGGTGGTTCAGTGATAGAATTTTAACTTCCATGTGGGGGTGGAAGGGTGGTAGGATGGGTAGAGGAAGACCTCAATGAGATGGATGGACACAGTCAGTGCAACGGTGGGCTCAACCATAGCAACGGATGTGAGGATGGCACATGATCCGGAAGTGTTCCGCTATGTTGTACATAGGGTTGCTATGAGTCAGAACTGACTCCATGGCACCTGACAACAGTAACATGCGGGAGACCCAGTTCCGTTCCCATGCAGTGCCCCTCTTGCATAACCCCCACCAGTGTCTCAGTGGAGGCTGGCATGTTCCTGTGATGCTGGCCAGGTCTCAGCAGAGTTCTAGAGTAAGACAGACAGTCCTGATGACCTATTTGTGAAAACAGGCCAATGCAAACCCTCTGGGTCACAAGGGTCTGATCCACAGCCATAGGACCTGGCAGTGTTTTGTTCCACTGTGCATGGGGTTGCTGTGAGTCCAGGGCCAACTCTCAATGGCACACACTGAGAGTGGGGCGTTTTCAAGCTTCCAGAAGGTCATTGTAGGCAACGGGGGAGCAGCTAATTGTTTCAGCTGCAGACTTTTTGGTTAGCAGCTGAGCACTTACCCACTGCACCACCAGGGCTCCTTTCCAGAGGGTGACATCTCCCTAGTAGCAGCAGAACAGGGTTCCGACAATGCCATTGCTCAGAACCACTGTGTGAGGGCAGGAGAACTAACTGGGAGAACCCTCTCATTTGGCCTCGGGAGATAGGAGAATCCTACACTTCTTTTTTGGTTGACCATAAAACCCAAACTAAGAAGTTTCTATATTTCCCTTCACACAACTGTGGGAGTGTTTGCCACCAGATATATCTTTAAAATTTGATAGGAATAATCACTCATTCCTTCCTCCCCTCCTCCCCAAGGTCAGGAAGTGCTAAGAATTTTACTTTTAAAGACACTCTGCCAGGATGATGGAGACATCTATTTATTGTGACCTGTTGAGTTTAATCTTTGTGCCAAACTACATGTTATGAGAAACAGTTGTGTGTGCTTCCTCAAGTGGAGATGATTGTTTGCTTCTCTGTGTGTGTTTCAACCTGTTTTTCTTTTCTGATTAAAGCCTGGCTAAATGCCTGAGACGTAGCAACAAAGTACCTTGAACTTTGCTGCTTAGAGAAGAGCTCCAAAGCTCAACGACTTCTAAGGTCATTTGGCAGAATAATTCTTTCTATCCTGCAAACTGCACTTTGACTTTGGCCATGTTGATTACCATAACCTACATATCTTGGTAATTCTGGCCTCTCTTCTAATGCTTTTTATATGCCTCACACATGCACCAGCCCCTGCCTACTTTAAGTTCAACGTTCATTCATCAGCAAGCATCTACTTTTTGTCAGATACTGCTCGGGCTGCCTAGATAACCCCTGCCCAGTGTCAGATTACCCAATAACCAAGGTAAGCGTAGGCTTACTGGTGATTTACTAATCTGTCGTGAACAAATTTCACATTTTTTCACCACCTCAAAGATTCCGCTTCTAGGTATGGCTGGCATCTGTCTCTCTCCCAACCCCACAGCACCTTCCTCCAGAATCAAAGCCTCTTTCCAAATTGACAATCCCTGACAGGGTACTAAACTAACTCAATCTCACCTGTGAGAAACCATTCACTACTGTTGACTGCAGATTAGTAAGGAAGTTCAAGCAAGCCCATCCTTACCTTGCTTTTCAGGTACTCTTTCTCTAGTCTTGCAGAGTTCCTAGTATAAATATTTTAAAAATTATACTGGATCTTAAACTAGTACCCAGCACCAAGATTTATATGAAAAATGAAACATATCAGATTCTACAGGATTTACTTTCAGTTCTCCATGAGGGTTTTAGTATCTTCTTTGCCTAATTGCTATGAGAGAGGGTAAAGAAGGGAATGGAAGCTAATATCTATTAAGCACCTACTGTGTGCAAGACAATATCCATTATTTGTTTGAATCCTTTCAATAACTCTGAGGTAGGCAGATTTACCCTCATTCTTAGAGGTGAGGAAACTGAGGCCCAGATAAATTGAGCACCCGTATCCAGGATCCTACAGCCAGTGGGTGAATAGAAGAGAGATTTGGACTCCAAAGTTCATACCTTGGGCTTCATATTTGAAAAGATTATATATATATATATATATATATATATATATATATATATATATATATATATATATTTAAAAAGTGGGATTCTGAGATTTTAATTTTGCCCTTCATCTCGAGGGCTGTTGGTAGTAACAGTTTCCTGCAGTTTTACCTAGAGCTTGTGGTCTCAGCCCATGTCTTCTGTTTTGAGATGCCTGGCATTAGCACTGTCTGCACCTGCTGGGGGTAGAAGTCTTGCCTCCCATGCAGACCTGGGTTAGATCCCGGCCAATGCCTCTCATGGGCAGCCACTGCTCATCTGTCAGTGGAGGGCTACGTGTTGCCATGAGGCTGGAGAAATTTCAGCAGAGCTTCCAGCTAAGATGGACGAGGCAGAAAGGCCAGGCCGTCTACCTCCAAAAGTCAGCCAGTGAAACACTGTGGATCCCAACAGTTTGCAGCTGATCCATGGAGATGGCGCGGGACCAGGCAGTGTTTCATCCTGTTGTACATGGGGTCATTCTGAGTCTGCCTGATTCAACCAATTCAACAGCAGCTGACAATAGCAGTCCCACTCAAAAAACAAAACAAACAAAAACTCGCCGCCATCTAGTTGGACCCGACTCATAGTGATCCCTCCTTGGGTTTCCAAGGCAGTATCTCTACGGAAGTAGATTGTCCAACCTTCCTTCTGAGGAGTGGCTGGTGGGTTTGAACCGCCAGCCTTCTGGTCAGCAGTCAAATGCCCTAGGCACTAGGCCACCAGAGCTTGTGCAGTCCCCCTCGCTACGCTGTAAGTTGCTGGAGTATCAATTCTGTCTCTTTCAGCCTAGCACAGTGCATTACTGTAGTGAGGCAGGTGGAGCTGGGAGCTGTGTGAAGCAGAGAGCAGGGGATTCTGAGCTGGGGTGGGAGGGGGAGCTAAGGCCCTTGGCATGCTAGCACCAGTTGCTCCCAGGTGGTAACAGCTTGGCATTTTTTAGCAACACTTGTCCCATTGTTTCAAAGGAAAATGATCTGTGGGGGTTTTGAGTGATGTGCACACATTGCTAATGTGCAAGAGTTGAAGAAAGCCTTGTGTTCCAGGGTCTGTGATAATTTAGTGGCATAGGACAAGATAAATATAGGAGCTGGAAAGGATCTTCATGGTCCGCTCCGGCCCAGATGAGGACTGTGCAGCCCAGAGGGAAAGGGAGCTTAGTGCCACTGAAG